CTGTTTGAATAGCATATATTTTATATGATGTGAAAAACAGGCTTTAGAAAATGACATAAAATCTTTTTTTCTGATTTAAAATCATAAACCTAATATGTATATGATATGACCAGGACTTGACTTTGGATCTTTTAGAGTACAGATTCTCTACTATTGTTATCTAATGCAATTTTATCTTGGGTCTGCTGTCTCACTACAATCAAAATGAAGAACAGGTTCTTAACAGCAAATGTGTCTAATCATCTCTAGATAAGTGACTTCTGAGACTGAAGAATGTGACACGAAGACATTTCCACCACACCTACAGAAGGAATTCTACTTGACAACCAGGGGTTTGATGCGTTTGAGCACTTAGCTAAGTGTCAAATACATTATATTGTCACTCTGGCTTTAGAAATTTCAGTCAAAGAAATGAGGTCAATTCCCGAGTCACCCTCCGTAGCTGAGAATCTGCACTCTCATGGCTCTGATAAATTCCCCCTTGAGCTAATTACTTGGAAGGAAGGAGATAAAGAGGTGCCTCCCCTATGGAACTTGTTCTTGCAGTGTACAATTTCTTACCCCACCAAGGCATCCAAACCTGCTCTTTTCCAAAGAGAACAAAAATCCAGAAGCAGATACAGAGAGGTGAAAAGTTGGCCTTTGACCCGTTTCCTAAGGATGCTGTGCTTATGTCTGGTATATGCAGTGATGCAGACCTTTGGATCTCTCAGGGAAGCCCTGGTTACCTCTTCCTTCCCCAGGATTCTTCTTTCTAATGTCCCCCTCCCCCCGCCATGCAATGGGTATCTACTTCCCCAATATTCCAAACACAATCTCTTCAGTAATTCTCTTTAGAGTCCTTTGTGAGTCTTAGCACAACAGGAACACTACCTGATGTTCTCAAAGCTCTTTTCCCTTTGTATGTTTGTTGTTCTTTTTCTCAATACATTAACTAAGTGCTTAAAGTACTTTTTGAAAGAAAAATTATGCATAGCCATATCTATTTCTTCCTTGGAAAATTAGAATTCTCTTAGGAGACAGGGGGACAAAATACAAATTAAAATTTTGTACTTTCTTCTTCCAGTCATTTAATTTCACTGAACATGTTATCAGTGTGGGTTAAGTGCAAGGCAGCTGTAGCTGTATCTCCTTCTGCCCTGTTCCTATGCCTTGTTTATTTACTTAATGCCAGTTCCTTCCTCTGCCAATTTGTAGATGGATTTCACAATGTGTGTTTATGGAAACTCATTATTGAGTTTTTAATGCCCAGGAGGAAGCCATTCTCCTGAAGCATCCTGGCACCAGAGGTGAGGAGGGATACTTCTGAGAAAAGGATTGAGAGTTAGCAAATGAAAACAGGATGCCCACATAAACTGGAATTTCAGACAAACAGCAAATAATCATTTAGTAGAAATATGTCCCAAATATTACATACTCATTTATGGGATGTACTTATACTATATGCAGTATCATACAAAGTAAATATTAAAAGCAAATGCTATATTGTTTTATTTGTATTTCATTTTAAATTCAAATTTAACTGAGTATTTTATATTTTGTCTGGCTACTTTCCAGGAGACCAGGTTTTCAATTTCTACATGGGTTGTGTCAGAGGAAGTAGCATGTTTTTGCTTTGACTTTCTTTCTTCTCTTTCTTTCTTTCTTTCTTTCTTTCTTTCTTTCTTTCTTTCTTTCTTTCTTTTCTTTCTTTCTCTTTCTTTCTTTTCTCTCTCTCTCTCTCTCTCTCTCTCTCTTTTTCTTCTTCTTTATTATTATTATTTTTTATTTTGACAGTCTCCTGAGCTGGCCTGGAACCCTGTAGACCAGGCCTGGCCAGTGCTGGAATTAAAGGCTTAAAGGTGAGTGAGTGTCAACACACCTTGCTTGTAGCTGTTTTTTTCTTTTGACACAGGGTCACTTATAGCTCAAACTGGCTTAGAACTTTGTAGCTGAGGATGACTTTGAACTGACCTTGAACTCCGGATTCTTCTGCCTCCACCTTTAAGTGCTTGCTAGGATTACAGGCACATATTACTAAGCCAAACTGCAGCAGCAAGCTTTTTGTTTTGTTTTAAACTTGCACAGTAGGAAGTGTGTATTAGTCATCTTTTTCCTCTAGAAATGACACATGAAGAGGCATTAGTTTAAATATCTGTATTCCCTCAGGGCTGACTGATTCTGACACCTCAGGATCAGAGAGGATGATGAGATGTATCTGCTTAATAGTGTTTCCTAAATCATTGCTTGATGCTACTCATGACTTCTTTTTGGAATTAATTAATTAATTGCTGTGTTTTTTGTAGTACCTCCCTGAGGTGATTCAAAACTCTTAACTCTATAAATCTAATCAATATGTTTCTGAGTCTATTTAAATATTGACAGTTGAAAAATCCTGAGCATTGCAGTAAGCTCCAATGAGACACAGGCTAAGGCAAGGTAAATCAAATATAACTACCACTCAAGTCCAGATAAAGTTCTCTAAAGTGTTAACAGAAACACAATTCCATCAGAGAATGATGTCTATCAATCAGGCCTCAAAGTCCAACCACAGTTAACTTTAACAAATATTGGTTACAGTTCAAATGAGTTACATAAAAACAGAAACAAAACCAAATTCTGAAAGCCAAACTAGAATTCTATTATGCTCTAAAAGTAATCTATTTATAAGGTTACAGTGTTAAGGGTAACAATTTTTCAGATAGTTGGATGGACTCTTGGATGTATCACAGCCACACTGCCATCTACTGGCATTCGTTTTTTAGAAGAGTATTTAAGCCCCACTTTAACCCAAGTCGCCATTTTAGAGACTGACAAGGGTAGAGCTATAACAGTTTGCTACCAGTTTTCCTCAAAATTCTATAACAGCATGGCAGATTAAAGATGTGGCACAGTCAATATTCCTCCCTTTGATCTACGAAAGGCTTCTACGTAAGGCTTAGTCTTGTAGAATGCAGCATTGGTGACACGCTGGGGATTTCTGAGAGTCATGAAGTTTTCTGCTTTCTAGCCAGCCCTCTTAAAAGGCACTGTGTAACTACCAGAGACAACAAGGAGGTTACTGGGGACCACACATACAAGCCTTCTGGTAGACTGTTCTAGTAGACAAGCTAGCATGTCTAACCTAGCTGCAAGCTGAATTTTACCTTGGAAACTCTGTTGGTGCTCAAGGAAACAGAACAGCCTAGCCAATCCACTGGAATTACCAGCACATGAAATCCTGATGTAATTAAATGATTGTTGTTTTAAGCTACTAAGTTTTAGAAAGTTTAAGAAACAACAGCTCACCAGAACAAACAGTGACCTATTAAGCTTTATGTTTAGAAAGTGACAGAATGGGGTGTGCTGACTGGAGAAAATGAATGAGCCAATGAGGGGCATAAAACTGTAACAAGAGACCATAAATTATGTCACTGTCAGGGATAAAAAGATGAAAGGGGCAGGGGACCTACAGCAAGTTTTAAGAAGTCAGAGTCTGGGCTGGAGAAGTGACTCAGAAGTTAAGAGCATTTATTGCTCTCCTAGAGAACCTGGGTTTGATTCCCAGCACCCACATGGCAGCTCACAACCCCTTGTAACTCTAAGTTCCAGGGGATCTGGTACTCTCTTCTGACCTCAGAGGGCACTGGGTGCACATACATGCATGCAGGTGAACACTTATGCACATAAAATAAAAATAAATCAATAAATCTAAACAAACAAACAAACAACAAAACTCAGTGAAGAGTTTTAGCAGGCTGCTCCCATAATTTTGACAAACTTATACTTTTGGCTCAGCTTCTCGGAGAGTCAAAGAGAAAGCAGGAGGAAAGTTTCACCTCACACAGATGCCATGAGCAACAATGAATAAACATGACAAATATGCAGTGGATAGCATGGAAAAGTGCTAAGTATGTAAGAAGCAGTCATTGTACCTACTGAAAATCTGTCATTGGGTGATTTGAAATTAGAGGCATCTTCAGAGAAAATAGCACAGAAAATACCAACAGATTTTTATTTTTTGTACTTTTATTGAAAAGGTACATTAAAAAAATACACAGACATTTTACCATTTACAGATTGCAGATATAGATCCTCTAAAAGAATTCACTCTGTTTTGCTGTTTTGTGATACCTCTGGCCCCTGGTATCACAGACATTCTGGTCTTGCTGACATTAGCTTAGAAAGGGGGGTGAGGGTGGGTATGGGCATGTGACCTGTAACATAATCATTAAACAGAAATACAGACTATTCAATTATAAATTATATATCTTCTGTACATTATTGCATTAAGGAGCCACAAAGTTATGTAGCATCATTACAAATGAAAACAAGTTAAAAATGAAGATCATTACATAGAAATACATGGATTTCTTCTTGCAGAGTGCACAGAAGGTGCAAAAATGTGCAATTTAGGAAGCGCTTTTTGTTTTTGTATACATTTGCTTAGCAACTCAAACCAGTGAGGAAACTACAAAAATAAGTTAAACAGAAATATCAAACAGGTAGTAATTATAGCTATGTTATATGGCTTTCTATTTTGTTTAAATATCTCCAAACAAAACGTGAAATAAAATACATTATCTTTTGTTCTCTTAAAGAGAAAAAAATTCAAAGCTACTTTGCTTCCTAACAATTACACAGCAATGGAAAAGATGTTTAATTGAGACAAGAGTTACAATCTAGTACTTCACAGGACACAACAGTACTTGGGTCTAGAACGGTACACAATCCCTTGGGCAATAGTACACCAAAAATGGAAAGGCTGAGATCCATAGGGAAGATGGGCTCCACAAGTAAGCACTTGCCTGTTACTTTTGTTCCACACTAGAATACGTCCGATTGGTATTTTCCCCCCAAGAAATCAAATATCTCAGATACACCAATTAGATGGGGTAGGATGAAGAGGGAACAAGAAGATAAAGCTTCCATTGCTTCGGGGTCCTTTAAAGCGCTCTTTAACCTGGCCACGTGTTTCTCTTTGGAGTTGGGGCTGGGCTGTAGCCTGCATTTTGTAGGTTGGTGGGTGGGGTACTTATAGCCACACAATTTCCCCCCAAGAAATCAAATATCTCAGATACACCAATTAGATGGGGTAGGATGAAGAGGGAACAAGAAGATAAAGCTTCCATTGCTTCGGGGTCCTTTAAAGCGCTCTTTAACCTGGCCACGTGTTTCTCTTTGGAGTTGGGGCTGGGCTGTAGCCTGCATTTTGTAGGTTGGTGGGTGGGGTACTTATAGCCACACAAAATGCTTACATTGCTGAATCCTTTTGGTTTTCCTTCTACACTTTCCCACTGGCCTGGCCCGGCCTGTTGGGGGCTGAGGATGTTAGTAAGGGGCAAAGAGGATGGAGGTGGGCGTGGCGCGGATGGGCCCATGGCCAGGCCTCAGCAGGGCGGGAGGGATGGCAGTGGCCTGGAAAAGCGAGGCGGAGGGCCTTGGTGGCAGGGACAGGGCAGAAGACACAGCCGCTGCAGCTAGGGGTGACGACAGGAAGGCAGGGGCCAGCGGCTTCATCAGATCTTTCTGGAATGCAAGTTTTGCCTAAAGAAGGGAGGAAAACCAGGAATGGGGGTGAGGACATTGTTTTGGGGTCACCGCACCATGGATCTTTTCACGAGTAAAACACTAGAGAGCTAACAAGTCTTAAACACCCAACATCGTTGACAAGTCAAGAAATGAGGCCTTTCATGAAGCTGGTCTCAGTAGCTCTTGGAATATGGCTTGACTTTGGTTTGTTTCCATTTCAGCTCTGTTTTAGTCTTTGGTCTCTAGAGCTATCAAAGCAAGCATTCTGGATAAACACCCTAGGTGTTGGACAGGTCCAGCTAAGGCAGGGAGCACAAATCAAAACTTAGGCCATGCAGCCTGGAGAGGTATGAAGCCTAGGCTGGCCTTGAACTTGCCTCAGACAACCTCCCAGAGTTTCAGGGATTATACATGTGCACCACAACATCCAACATGCTTGATTTTGTTTTTGAGCCGCATTACACGCCTCCCCCCCACCCCAGACAAACTGCACTGAGATTAGGTAACTGAGGTTTGGAACATTAGGGGCCCAGGAAGAGTCTATAAAACAACTTATGGGATGTCCCCTAAAAAAATTACAGCTAAATAAAATTCTGTTGATGAGGATGACTGTAAGTGGGCTAAAAATCTCTGCTTAAAGGAATCTCAGTGTGGCATCTTCTGGGTAGAAATCAACCCTTGGTGTCTGTCTTTCGGAATCAGAAGGGGCTGGGCACACTGTGTTTGCTGACTGCAGCCATCACCTGCTTGGGCATCAGCTGGGGCCTTTGGCCAACCTGGAAGGTGATTTCAAGCTTCTCTTTCAGCTGGCCCAGCTCAGCTCCACTCAGACTGAACATCACGCTGGGTCTCAGCCCTAGAGACACCGTGAAATCCGTCCATCTGGGCATTTATATGACACCTACTGCTGAAGTCCCTAGGTATTTGTGTGAGAAACTGCCAATAGTGGATAGTGAATGCAGATGGGCAGACTGATGACCAACACGCCTTCTAGAGAAGGAGCAAGGCAAACACTTGCATGCACAGACACCAGAACACAGGAGGAAGCAAGCCTGCTGCTCAGGTTTGACACATTCCAGCATTCCTGAGGCATTGCTCGTCCTGGCTCCTAAAGCTTTACTTTTCTTCACACTTTAAAGAAAGTAGTTTTTGACAAGACCTTGGTAAAGACTATTAGCTCTTTATTCCCCTTTTTTTCTTCTGGTCTTTTTGAGACAGGGTCTCCCTGTAGCCCCAGCTGGCCTACAACTCCCTATGTCTTGAACTCACAGAGATCTGCCTACCTCTGCCTCCTGAGTGCTGGGATTAAAGCACTACCAAGCCTGCTCCTTTTTTTTTGAGATGAATTATTTTTATGTGTATATGTGTATGTCTATGTGTGCGTATGTGCATGTGAGCATAGTGTCTGCTGAGGCCAGAAGGTGCAGAATCCCTTGGAGCTAGAATTATAGGCCACCAATGCTGGGTGCTGGCAAGAGAACTCAAGTAGTACATTTTCTTAACTGCTGAGTCATCTCTCCAGCCCCAAGGCATTAGCTCTCCTTTGCTTTTTCAGAGGATGCTTTCTTCAAGGTACCCTGTAACAGGAACTAACTAAACAGCTCATTCTAAAATTTCTGGGCCTGTGAGGTGGCTCAAACCAATAAAAGCACCTGCCACCAAGCCTGACATAGCTCAGTAAAGGTCTCTGTGGTCAAGTCTGACAACCAGAATTTGATCCTCAGAACCTGCATGGTGAAAGGGGAGATTCAACTCCCATGAGTTATCCTCTGCCCTCCACTGGTACAAGATGGCTCAAGCATGCCCCTAGCTCCCATGGATTTACAACCTTTAGCTCAGTGGTGGACCTCTTGCCTAGTAGATAGGAAGCTCTGGATTAGACCCCTAGCACTGCAAAAATCAGTGAATAATAAAAATTAGTTAATAATTCATCAATGTCCAATCCTGCAAGGCTGACCCATAAAACAGGTGAGGAAAGTAAACTTACCGCTAAAATGCTTGGGCTCCGCTGGAGTTTGTTGTAGGGGCTGTATTTTGGCTTCAGCGGTTTCCCTGCAACTCGGTCCTTATGCCTTCGACTAGAAATGTGCTGAAAAGAGTTTGATGCATTAGCTGAATCTCTGAAAAATACATTTCCCAGACAGAAATAGTGGATAGCTCCCTTCCTACCTTGGGTAAATAAAACCTTTCTGATCTAACGAGGACTTTCTCCCCCTTCACTGCAATGCCTTCACCCCTCTGCTGTCCTCTAGAGCCGTACCAGATTTTGCCTGGTGTTGCCTGTCTTCTCTGACCAGATCTGGGTGTTTAGGAGACAAGATTCACATAGCTTACATAGTAACTTCCTTGAGATTGCTGTGCCCATTTGTCTATGCCTAAGAATGGCCTGAGAACTGACAGTAGACATTCAGATACTAGTAATGACTTCTTCTACATAGCACTTGCATGTTGCATATTTTATGCATTCTATAAAGTTTAGTAATTTAACTGTGAGCACACTGAGAACCATTTATAAAGGAGGAGATGAAGACAGACAAGTGATAACCCTAGCAACCAAGTGTGAGTATATCTAATTTAGGATATATTACCTGTTTGAGTTGAATTTCTGAGTTAACATGAACATCACAGATTTCACAATGAAATGTTTTGTTCTGTAGTCCTGACCCCTTACTGCCATTCTGCATCTTTAATCTTGACCCAGGTCTAGGATAGGACTTAATTGGACCTGCTCCATTACGAGCCTCAACCATGGTCTTGTGTTTAGATCCTAAAATGAAAGAGGCATTTATGAGACAGTTATTTAAGAAACATAGGGAGCTGAGGATGTAGTTCAGTTGGAAGAATGTTTGCCTGGTATGTGTGAAGACCAGGGTTTGATCTCTAGCACTGCATTAACTGGGTGTGATAGCACATGCCTGCAATCCCCAATACTTGAAAGGTGGAGGCAGAAGTTCAAGGTTATCCTCAACTACACAATAAGATCAACTCCAGCCTGTGCTGGGACTGTCAAACAAACAAACTATAGGAAGCTCTTTTTTCTTCCCTTTTCTCTCCCTCACCTCCCTCTCTCCTTTCCTCCCTCCCTCCCTTCTTTTCTCCTTCCCTCCGTCCCTTCCTTCTTTCCTTGTTTTTTTTTTTGAGACAGGGTCTTTCTATGTAGCCCAGGCTCCCCTTGAACTCACCATTGTAGCCCATCCTGACCTCAAACTCGTTATGTCCCTACTCAGTCTGTTGAGTGATGGACTTATGGGCATGTACCACTATACCTAGCCCATGTATATATTTTCTTGTCATTAATTTTAATGACTGGGCCAAGTAATATATTTTATCACACTGGGCTACTGTAATTTATGCAGGATTTCACTACGGATGGACTTTCGGGTTGTTTCCATTGTTTTCCTCCTCTAAGAGTGTGGCAGTGAGTAGTCTATGAAAATTGCCTTCATCTCTGTCACTTGTCAAAATGACTTTTGGTAAGTATTAGATGCTTTGGGGAAATCAAGGATAGAACAAGTTTCATCTCCAAAGTACTTTGCTTTGCTGTTTCCCCCAAATCACAGAAAATACTGATCAGACTTCTGTGAACAATAGATGTGATATTCTGATAGGAAGTGTTGGGTTTAGTTGTGAACACTATTTAAATTCCAAAGATATCTGCTAACCTGTATTGTGTGCTTCTAGCTGTGACAGGGAGTTCACAGCAACTTTGCATAGTGAACAGTAGAGTAATTTTTTGGCTTTTTCTTCTTCTGATTCGGCAACAGACCCGGGAGCTCCATTTGTGCTCTTGGAGGGAGAAGCAGTGGCTCCTGGTGGCAGAGGTGTTGTGCCAGATTTGAGAAGAAAGGACCGACCTTCAGCGCCTGAGGGCTGACTGGAAATGGTGGCTTTTAACTTCCCTTTATCTTCTAAGAAAGACAAAGAGAGGTGTTATTATAGCCAGTTATATCATACAAACAGTGACACCATAATGGAATTAAAAACAAATTTTATTTCCATATCAAATAGGAAAATCAACAATGTACACTCTTTAATTTTAACATAGATTTTAGCTTGTAGAGCTTGATTTAAACAAAATCCCACCCCATCTGACCAGCTTCCTTATTAGGTCACCCCAAGATCATGGTGATTTATGAAAAATGACTTTGGTCTCCTACTTAAAGCAGGTATTTTTTTCTGTCTGCTATCCTTGAGTTGTAAGTCAAGCTCTAGGGAAGTCTTTAATGTAGCAAAATCAGCTAGTCTTCAATATGATGACATGACAAGATGCAACATGGAAGAAGTCTTGAGGCAACATTAGCTTCAACTGACTGCTTGTGACTTAGTTATGGCATGAGTATAAAAGCTAAATTTAAATTTTTATACCAAGTCAAAAATTTACCTTTAGGTACTTGGATACAGGGGAAAGGAAGAAATATAGTTAATTGCTGTTGTGATTAAGTAAGCTTTCATTCCTCTTTGAATGGCAACACAATCTATCCCAAACACAAGAGAGCAGAGTCCCATTCTTTAAGCTTATAATTACTGTCAATCTAAATAAAGGGTCTTTTTTTTTTTTTTTTTTGGCCTTTTTTAGACAGGGTCTCTCTGTAGCCCCAGCTGGCCTGGAACTCACTATGTAGACCAGGCTTGCCTTGAACTCACAGAGATCCGCCTGCTTCTGCCTTCTGAGTGCTGGGATTAAAGTCATTGGCCACCATGCCTGGTCTAAATAAAAAATTTTAAATAATGCTGTCAACCACAAGCACCACATGAAGATTAACCAAATAATATAAAGACATTTTAGCATTTTGCCCATGCAACTGCTAAAGGTTTATATTCCTGAAAGGCCAGTATCAAGTTATGAGGGGTTGTCGTGACTTCAATAGAATCTAATCCATAGGACTTCCTTTGCTACTCAGGATAGCTGAGTTCAGGAACTCCTTTGGGAAAGAAACTGGAGCTTTGTATGCAATAGCACAGTCCAGCTCATGTTTAATTCCGTAGAGGTGGTAGTCTTATTAAATGTCTATAGGGCTCACTCTCATTAAGAGGGAGACCGTGTGAAAACATATTTTTTAATTGTCCTAGCTAAATCCAGAACATATACCACTGACATAGAACGCCAGTAATGTTTATGTTTCTATGTTCATGTCATAAAATCCCGTATGTGGCAAACAAAAGGTTTCAGTGCTTACTATAATGATTTTCAAAGCTTCATTGATTTGGGGGTTGGCCGGTTTCCATCCTTTCCCCCACGTTGGATCCATGTCAAGATTAATATGTCAAGACTAAACCAGTAAAGAAGCCATAGAGAGGGTCCAGACTGGAGCACTGCTTAGAAAGAAAATGTCAAGATCTGTTCATATCCTTGGGTTCTATGTTTTGTGTTTCCTTTCAGGAAATGCATTAAAACGAGGATGATATGAACTATGATCAAAAAGATCTGTGACTTTATAAAACTGATCTGAATAATACGAGGGAAAGAAATAAAATTATTCTTCTTAATTGGCAATAGTAAACCAGAATGGTGGCTTTTTTTTTTTATAAAGACCTGGATCTCCTCCACCTATAAGGATTGCTCAGATTGAATTTGCAATTTTAGAGCACTCATAAAGCAGCAAAATAACTCGGCAGTCTTCATATTTGCCCTCTGGAGTTAGCTCTTGTGATGGAAATGCCAGTTATTACACACCAACTTATTCTCTTGCTTCAAGCATTTCATTTAATATTTTGTATGAATTTGATCTGAAAGGATCTGTCCTTCAGTCATTTAGTCGCTCATTCTTCCCCATAGTACCATTTTACTGCTCCTTATATTAATGTTCCTCATGTACCTTTATGTTTATGTCAAACTTTATAGCTTACAGAGTACTACTAACATTGTCCTATTAGAGCAAACACATGGAATATTAGGGCTGAGAACAAATTTTTTCTTTTCCATAAGATGAAGAAACTGAAGTTAATCGAAATTAAAAACATTTCACACATTAGTAGACAGCATAGATGAGGCATGATGTTTTCTGTGACTGGTGTCCATGTGATACACTAATTTTTTTTGCACAAAGGGGAGGTGATGTCATATATCATCATTAATATTACAAATCACATAAAAGTCCCCCTACATATGAAATAGATGCTGTCTTGTTTCATAATAGCACTTTAGTTTTACATCATATTTTTCTTAAATGAAAATACTGTCTATGTACAGTTTACATGGAGAACTATAAAATTATATATTTTTCTTTCTAACCTTATGTCTTAAAGCAAACATAAGATTCCTCCTTTAGGAAAGAGTTAATGTGTTCATTAATAGACACATGTTAAGTTAGTTGCTGATAAGGTGCTAGATACTGAAGAGAATAGTAAGTAAACCAGGTATAGACTTTGAGAAAGTTACAGGCTACAGGGGAATGAGAAAGCAGATCAGAGGCCTCTAATTTACGGTAGAAACCAGGGACGGACGGGCCCAAGGGCTTGGAGCAGAAAATGAGGACCTCAGCTTGGAAAGGAAGGGGTATTCTCCATTGTTCTTGAGGTTTTGAAGGTCTGATCTAGAAAACCACAGAAGGAAGGTGAAAAGAATTCAGAAGGGATGGTCAGGAGCAGCAACATGGGGACATGATTAGGAGTTAGAAATCTCAGGATTTTCAACCTGGTTGTTTAGCACAGAACTGACAACAGAGATCATGGGAAATATTACCATAAAGGTAATTGAACCAAAAGGCAGAGACTCCCTTAAATCTACTTAAATATATACTAAAGACAGGCATTTCGTTTTTAACAATACATCAAATGATAAAGTATATTTAACTTTAATACAATCTAAAATTTAGACAAATTATTATTTCCTGTGAGGTAGGCTAGAGTCTTAGTAATTTAGAATAAATTTAATTTTGGAAATGTATAGATGGTTTCAACATATTCAAAATGCTGTTGCTAGATTGATACCAGCTGGGCATTAAAGCAAATCTAAAATCAAGAAAGTCACTGCTGCATTTACATATTTAAATTGTGGTATTCTCCCTGGATGTGTGAACTTGAAAAACTTCAGAGCCTAATTTTATTGTTTTGTCTTAGTGGCTTTATATTTTGATCAAAATCTACTATACTATTTCTCTTAGTGACATTTTAAATGTCTGATATTTAAAATGGATTTGAAGGTTTAATTAATGTACTGTTTACTTCTGTTTCTTTTAATAAAGATGCATGTCATCTGGAACTTCTATTTAATGTAAATTCCATTTTCAAGTATTCCCTTGCCTAATGGTAATTAACTGTCTTAATTATTTTCTGATTGCTCACACACTAGTCTTAAGGTTTTATCCTGCAGGACTTCAAAGCAGAAGTCGTTTAGCTACATCAGAATTGTCCTTTGTAGCAAGAAAATCCATAATTTATGCATCCAAGTGAATATATTTCTTTAATTTGGCCTCCTGGGAGTTTCTACCTCCACTCACCTACACTCAAAACAGTTAAAAATCCTTCTTTTGGGGCCTGTTTTTTTTTTTTTTTTTTTAACCCAATTGATAAACCATGTGAAGCAAGTCAGTCATCAATATTTGTCATTCTTATTTTTCACTCCAGAAACTTTACCCAAATTAACCCACCTAATTCAAAGTTGCTACTGTGTTTTTTAAACAGTATCTCTGCAGATTGTTGTACTAGCAAAAGATAGAAGGTTCTTGATGCAGTTTTAAGAAACGGATCATGTTGAAGAATGGAAGTCATGTACATATATAGCTCTTGATTTTGAAAACAAGTAAAATAATATTTCATCTACAATGTATGTCTTGTATTTTGAGTTAGAACTTTAGAGATGCTATCAAAGTTTTATTATTCTACTTACAAGGATTACTCTTGAATTTAATTTTATTAATGTGATAATTTTTTTCTAACCAGGTTTCAATGGTTGAATAAAATACCTATGTATGTAATAAATCTATGCTAATTAATAAAAATTTAGATAAGGTCAGATAATTTTTTTTTAAAACTTAAATCACTTACGATTTCATTCTAAGTTGTGCTATCGCTTGTTATACACCAATTCTATTGAGGGAAAAACCGTTGCCACCTATGATTTTGTCTTTGACCCTATTTTCTCTGTGTACCATACAGTACATATATTCTAAGTAATCTTCATTTGTATATATTGTGTAAGCACCGATATAGAATGTTTCTACCATACCAGGAAGCTCACTTGAACCTCTTGTCAAGGTAGCCGTATTTTCACACATTTCATCACATTGAATCAAAGCTGGGCATGGGGGAGCATGCCTTTGATCCTAGCACTCTAGAGGCAGATGCAGGCTGATCTCTGTGAGATCAAGGCCAGCCTGGTCTACATAGTGAGTTTCAGGCCAACTGGTGTTATAGGAAAACGCTGTCTCAAACATGTGTGTGTGTGTGTGTGTGTGTGTGTGTGTGTGTGTAATTATTTTTAAACTTCATATAAATGGAATCACAATATGTGCATTTTTGTGCTATTACATATAGAAGGTTGTTTTTCATTGCTTAATAATGTCCTGATACATGTGACTACACCATAATTGTTCTTTTACTACTGATGAATTCTTGAAAATTTTCAGTTTGGACCTATTTTGAATAATGCCACTATGAACATTCTTATGTTCTTTTGTAAACATATTTATTTTCAGTATACACAAGACATTCATCTATCTACCTTTATTAGATTTGGAAAACAGTTTTCCAAAGTAATTGTACCAATTTATCTTCTTATTAGCAGAATATATGTTACATAACATATTATATATCTATATAGAATATATATATGTGTGTGTGTGTGTGTATGTGTGTTTCCTAGTTTGAGTCTTCATTTCTGTTACAAAACATGCTGACCAATACCAACTTGGGGAGGAAAGGGTTTATTCAGCTTACATCTCCCAGGTCACAGTTCATCAGGGAGCTC